TTCATGACTGCAAGCAACCTGATGCGGGTGAAATCTGCTACAACGTCTCTGCCGAAGACATCCTTGCTCGAAATAAGACAGGTGCTTATAGCGACGCTGATGTGAGGATGCGTATTACAATGACCAAGCAGCGCTCGCCTACATGGGTTGCAGACGATGAGCGATTTTCTGATAACTCAAAAAAACTAGTAAGACTTCCGAGTTCTTCGCTAACTAGGGCGATTGCAGAGGCGGCCAGAGTAAGCATTTCTTAGTCCATATTATCGCATTGACCTCCAAGACATTAAAAACTACTTATTCGGTCCGAATTTTTTGTTATATAAAATTTTGTTTGCATTTGTAGCAATTATCTGATTCAAAAGTTGTTCTTCAAATCAGCTAGATTATTTATCATCATCCTAGCATCATACTAGTAAGGGCAGAGGATTGAGAAATAAGATATGTATTAACCCTATTTCGTTTTAAATGCCGAAGGACTTGCAGCTGAATTTTACCACAATGTTATGTTAGGCCTTATGTTTCCATTGAATTTCACATAGCCTTGCTTCCCAAAAGATACTCCAATCCAAGGTAAACTGTAGTCTTACCAGCACCCCTAACGGGACTCGGACTGTGATAGTTAAGCATATAATCTAGACTCGTTAACCATTACACCACACTGCCATAAGTGACCTTGGGCAAGAGGGCAGATTTGAAGTTCATGGAAGTTTAGTCGTTTTCGTATACCACATTATGTGTTTGGTTTTTCGTTGAAGCAAAGTTGTATTTTATATTGCAATCGACTATATTACTCATATTTATTTTCATAAGTAGGTTTTTTGAGACTATTAGTAGGTCTGATATAAGAGCTGTATTTACCCCATTTCGTTTTAGGTTATGAAGGAGTGGTAGTTGGATTTTCCCGCAATGGTATGAATACGCCTTACGTTTCCAATGATTTAACTACATGGTTTACTTATCGATTCGACTAATTCAAGAGACACCCCTAGTTTATAAGTTATCGCCTATATATATGTCTAACCACTCTACTATAGCACAATATAGCATAGTGAGTCTGGGAGAATTCCTCAAGTTAAGCAATAGAGTGTATAGAATTACAGAATTCATTATGGAGCTAAGGAAGGGTGGTAATTTACCATTTTTGGAGGTACCGGTTAGTAAAAAAGATAAATGATCTAACTTCTTTTCCAAAGATTTCCTCCTTAGGACCTGTCATGAGACCGATAGGAAGGATTAAAGACTGAAGAATGTGGCGTTACAATTATATAGAGAGAAGAAGGTCAGAAGTTCTTCCTGCTTAAACCCTTTAGTGGTTCGAATATCGGCTTCTGATTGGCGCAAGAGGTCCCGGTCTCATGGGTGAAAGAGTGGGCTCAGTACAGCGCCAAGGAGGATCGAGGATGAGAGATATTGGCATGTGTTCTTTGTGTAAATTGTGTGTTAGTAGATAGCCATGGATGCAATGTAACGGAACTTACCTTCGAAGAGGGAAATAGAAGGAATAATCACTACAAAAGGAAACGAAGTTGGTATAGATTTGTATTGAAACCTACAACAACGGATAACCTTAATTACTTCTATAATCATATATATGGGGTCAAAGTAAGATTGATGAAATGAATAATATGAGGTTTGCATCTAGAAGTCATATATCATCGGTAGCAAGTTATAAAGTGGAAGAATAGTTTTGCTTCAAGAATTATCAATTGCAATTAATCATAATTATTTCAAAATATTAAGAAGTAGGATGAGGAAAATAAACTATTTGGGGCGGGACGAAATTGAACAATTCTTTATTCAGGTTCCTGATTCAATCCTTAGAGAAAGCTAGGCGAACTGATGATAAAATGAGCGTCAGAACTACCTATGAGGAGAGGCTAATACTTTTTACTGCCGCCCCCTTTAGATAACGTTTGGACCCCTTTTGAAAATAAAGTGCTGAGCATATAGTCAATACAAGTAAACTGATAGAGTGGTCCGAATTTTTCGTTTCATAGTTAGGCTTTTTGAGACTACCAGTATACCTGAGATAAGAGCTATATCCATCCTATTTTGTTTAAAGTATTGAAGGACTGGTAGTTGAATTTTCCCACAATAATGTGTGTAGGCTTTATGTTTCCATTTAATTTCACAGACTTGCTTCCCAAAAGGTATTTTCATCCAGAGTTAGTCTCCCTGGGATTCGCTTAAGACATAGGCGAGGTCGAAACCTTAGCCCGTTCTGAATAAGAAAACCTTTTGGAAGGCTAGATTATCTGAAATCCAGTGGAAATGTAAAGCCTACTCATTATTGTGGGAAAAGTCAACTAGAAGTCCTTCATCACATTGTCGGAAATAAAGTGATTATAGCTCTTATATCAGATGGATCTTAAACCAAATATTTTGCAGGTCATGAATATTTCACTGCGAAGATGTGGGATCCATAGAAATGAGCAAAACAGACAATCCTGAATTAGAAGGATTAGTTTAGGAAATTAGGTAATAGCTATTTCTAGCTAGCAAATAGAATTATTGCAATCGAAAAAAGCACGATGGGCCACTGAGTAAGAAAAGAGGGCGTTACTAACCTTAAGTCCTGTTTTGGCTCTAAAATATCAACTAACTCCTCAGTATTCCACATACTGTAGATACAAAGAGTAACTGGGTTTCAATGAATTTCTTGAGATAAAGTTATTGGTGAAACTTTCATTTCGTATGAAATTGCATCAAGAAGAGGTTCGAAGGTCGATGGCGATGTTCCTCATATGACGAACAAAAGCTCAGCCGATTTTCATTCGAAACG